TATATATATATATATATATATATATATATACGTATATATATACGTATATATATATACCGAAGACGTTAATGGTACCTAAATAGTAGTCGATCCGCAATCCACCGATGACTTATATTCGGCACGATTACGACATAATTGTACATACGCGAGTATTTTGCAAGAAAAAGAGAAGAAAAAGGGGGAGAAAAAAAAACAGAACGAGTCACACCCGCAATTGTTAAGCGTAAGTCAGAGCTGTTACATAGGCAGGAAACAAATATACCACCGTCGTTTATATTAATTGATACAAATAAAATCAAGTTTCGAGCAAAGCGCCTGTGCGTGCCGCCTGTGTGTGTCATTGACCGCAACTTTTCGAAATTTCGCACGCGATCGAAATGCGACTTGAGATTCACGCTCGAATCTCTCCTCGCTATCGATTAATTGTGGACGGCGGAGCTGACTTCACCTCTTCCTACACACAGCATTCGATATGTTTATTTTTGAAAAAGCACAACCTTGGTATGATTATTATAATTTTTTAATTTACTCACTTTGCACTTAAGTAAGGCTGTTTTATACTGTAATCGATAAATTTTAGGAAGAATATTTTATCGGCCCCTTTTTTTCAGGAAGAATAAGCAGAATCTGTTTGTGGGTTAAAGTCCTCCCTAAAACGAACGACATCCGTTTACCGTTGCCAATTCTTATTTTATAATCTCCCAATTAATTATATTTGATTTCACGGATGTTCAAACACACACACACACACACATACAAACACAACTCCCTCGCGCGAATCGTGGCTGCGACTTAACGGTACCGATCGCGTACTTGCCGACTCCTGCGATTTTTGTCTCACCGTAGCGCTCTCTACCTGCCGTATCCAGGATTAATAATTCCCATAGAGAGCTGTCGGAGTCCTGTCGGAGGGACGACCGAAGCGACCTGAGAGAAGAACGAATCGGTCGCACCGTCGTCGCGATAAGCGTCCGCTCTCGCCACACGCATTCGTTTCGTCGACTTTTCGTGAAGATTTCTGCTTGTCTCGTACGGAATCTTTCGCGACCTCTTCGCTCTTCATCCGCCGCGCGACACGTCGAGAACGGACGCGTCTGGATCGCCGCGCGAGCAGGTGATCGAACGCCGTGCCTGGAGATGTGAAATTCCGGAGAGTGTCCTCGTGAGCGAACGGAGCGGAACATGGCCTTCCTATGCCCCGTGCGGATTCGTCGCGGCAAGAAGAAGAAACGTGAGTAGACACGACGGCGAGCGAGGACGCGCTCTCTCGCCTCTTCGTGAGCCGAGAGAGGTCGAGAGAGCCGACGGCATAGTTCGGTTCGTGAGAGCAAGCAGTTGTCACGCTCGGCTCGATCACCTGTTGCTCCGGACCGGTTATGCAGCTTCCACTCGCAGCACCGGAAAGGACCCGGTACGCCGGGTTCAAGCACCGATTACGCGCGACTTTCGATTTTTCCTCCGGCCGAAAACGCGAAACCAGCGCGTTTCCTGCGCGTGTCGTTCTCAAAGTCATTTTCACATGATCATTCGCGATCACTCGTCCGATTATGGATGCGAGTGTTCTTTGCTTCTGAAACTCTCGAGCGATGTAGCGCCGGGGAAAATCATTCTTATCGTGATTTCGGCGGTATATGTTTCACGTCACGTGTTAGCGTCACAGGGAGCTTAAGTTGTTGTTTCCTTCATTTATCCCGCGATCGATAAATTCCGAAGAGTCGTATTTATCCCTCGAACTCGCAGTTTCACCTCACACTCGTACTTATGATTATCGTTGATCTCAAATAGCCGGAACGCATAACTTCAATTTGGAGAAGGACTGCGTCGGAGGAGGAGGCACAGGGCTTGGTCTGGGTACCAGGGTTCCGGTGCCCCCTGGCCGGATAACGGGAAGCGCCAGTATCGAGACCCTCGTGAGAGTCGGCATTGAAAAGGAAAATGGGCTCTCCCCCGATAGTAAGATGGTTATCGTGCATGATTTCACCCCCTGCGTGGATGATGAGCTTCAAGTCAAAAGGGGACAGGTCAGCAATGCTTCACCGAACGTTTGCCAACGACTTTTTTTTATTACTTATACCTCATTACTGTGATTTAAATTTAATCGTCCCGTATACAACATACATTTAACATTCACACGATAGCAACGAAGCACATCTCAGAGAGTATTGAAATGTTCTGAGACGTTGTAAAGACATCTCTGAGACAATGACACCTTGTCTACCACTTTGCTTTAAAAAGTAAGCAATTCTGAGACGTTGTAAAGACATCTCTGAGACAATGACACCTTGTCTACCACTTTGCTTTAAAAAGTAAGCAATAAGCCAATTTACTAACCACGGTCGTTTGTTGGAAGAATAATAATCGACCGTGGTTGTTAGCTTACTGCTATTGTTTAAAGCAAAATTGTGGACAAGGGCTAAAATGTCTAAAGGACTGCCTACATTGGAGGTAGTAACACCCCACACATATATGCTATGTGAGATTGTGGGGTAGGAAGTAAGAGAGTTTTTTCAGTGGAATAAAACGTAACACCCCCCAGGAGTGAACGAAATAGATCATTCCCATTTTCTACTCCCTATTGCTTTATCACTCCCTTATTAGCCCCAATATTTTTCTCATTAATTATTATATGCTTACTTCCAATGTAGATGATTTTTAAAGGACGTCTCTGAGACATGCATATATTGTATGAAATTGTTTATATACTCAGAAATCATGCATTATCGAAGATGAAGTGCAATAACACGTCGGAATTTACGCGTTTCAGGTAGTGAACGTTCTTTACCGGGAGAATGATTGGGTATACGTGATAGCGGCTGACACGCGCATGGAAGGATTCGTGCCGCACTCGTATTGCGCACCGTACACGTCGCAGCTGGCGGAGCTGACGCTCGCCAGCCTGAACAACGTGAAGAAGAAGCTGCCGCGATCCAGCGAGAACGATTGCGATCTGCTAAGCACCGGTCGCCTGCAGACGACGGAGGCACAGCAGACCGACACCGGATCGGCGTCGGATTGCGAGAGCTACGCGCGCAACATCACCACCGCAGACGTCAACGTGAATCGCTCCAACATCACGCAATCCCAGAATTCCATACAGACCATATCGTCTCAGCCGGACGTGCATCCCTTCTTCAAGGTACGATTTGACGATCAGAGCGCTCATCGCAGCGAGTTAGCGGGAAGTTACACTGTAAGGCCTATCCGCAGGACCCATCGGCCGGGAGATACATCGTCCTCTACACGTTCGTAGCGCGGGACGAAAACGACGTGAGCGTCGAGAGGGGAGAATTCGTGACGGTGCTGAATCGCGACGATCCCGATTGGTTCTGGGTGCTGCGACACTGCGACGGCAACGAGGGTTTCGTGCCATCTGGTTTCGTCTATCCGGGCCACGTTCTCCATTCTTACGCAACTACCACGACGGCCACCACTGCCACGACGAATACAGCGTCCGCGGAAACTCACAGCCTAGGTCAGTGCTCGAAATTACTTGCACTTTCGAGGTGATCTCTTTGGGAGGTCTTTCTTTCCCATATCTCTTCCGCTCGCCCATCGAGCCGAGCGATTGACAGTCGCAGCGTGAAACCTCAGGATTGACAACTCAGCAAACACGATGCGTGTTAAAGACGTACTAACGACGTCACAGGTGTTATTGTTACGTCATTATGTTTGCTGCGAAATTTGTAAGACCTGAGGTGCTTCTTAATTGATGAAAAGTTTTTATCAAAACTACGGTTCTATGATTGCAGTTGTAATGGTATAATTTTGTTGATAGCGTACAAAATTAAAAGACGCAAGAAACCCGGGAAAATATGATTATATATAGTTATATAAAATCATTTATCTCGATTATATTTGCACATAATTTGCAAACAACGGAATTTTTTTTCCTTTTGTGCACATATATGATTATATACAGTCATATTATGGGCAAATTTCATATATGATTTTTCTTTTCCCGGGTGTTTCCATTCAGGGTAAGCATAGTAGTTGAAAAATCGCCTCGAAAGAGCAAGTAATTCCGAGCACTGGTCTAGATTAGCACTTTGTCTAACAATCAAGTCGAGTCTGCGAAGCAATTGAAAGAATTCACATTCCTGAAAATGTACACGTCAACGACAGAATTGGTCAAGTTCCCGGAGAGACTCGGATCGTTCTCGATCCATCCTCCACGATTATCCTACGTATAATCTAACGTTCACGGTGTTTATTTCACAGGCAAGGGCACCGGCAATCTAACAGGAAGCGAATCACTGCAGCAGAAGGGACTGCGAGATTTCCGGGACGAGACGACCGGCACGGAACTGGTGGTGCTTTACGACTACAAGGCACAGGCGCCGGACGACCTGTCGGTGAGGAGGGCCGACTGGATATACGCGGACCTAGGAAATCAAACGGTGGACGGTTGGCTCTGGGCGTACGCGCCCAAAACCCGCAAGTACGGTTTCATTCCTAAGGCGTACGCACGACCTCCCGCCATGACTAGCTTGTGACTCTCGGCGAATCTGCCTCGCGCGCATTTTTACACGTATTCATGTGCAATATAACGTTTTTTTATACGCGACGTCGGTGCCTTCATTTCCTCCTCTCGTCACCTTCGCCCACTGGTAGTTACGTCTGCTCGATTTGCATCGGTGTCTACACTCTTCCCCTGACGGTACTTACAACGTACACGGACACATCGGTGCGCACGAGTACCGGTGCGGCGAATACACGTAAGAGGTTTAATGTACAATGACATTTACATTGAGGCTGGTGCAGCCGGACGTGATGTGGCCGATCAGTCCTTCGTGGAGCACTATACAATCGCCGGCCAAGAGGACATCGCGAGGGCATTGGGCGCTTCTGAGGGACGTCACCGGGCCCGTGTACGTAAGGGAACGAAATCCCCCGTTCTCGATGCTGTCCACGGCCTGTCGTGAACCGGTTGGGCGTCATTAGGCCTGTACACCTCGAGTGTCAGACGTACTCGTACGTCTTCGTCTTACAGCAGGTCGATCGGTACCTGGATGCTGCAGCGAAGTCTGTCAGCCGACGTGTCGCCGATGTCCAATCCCGCCACCCAGGCGATGATCACGTCCTTCTCGCATTGACCTTCTCCGCCGGCGTGCATCTCCTCGCAGCAGGCGTAGCGACTGCCGTGCAAGCGCGCGGCCAACACAGGCAGCGGCAGTCGGTTTCGATATTTCAGGTTGATCTGATTACCACCGAACAGTCTCGCTGCCGAGTCTCTTGTTGTTAGAAATTTTTACGATTATGTTTACATCTCTGGCTCCGTGGTCTAACTATGAATAACAATGGCCTTTTCAGAAGCTAACCGCGGCTGTTGTGGTGACGTTTATTAATTTTTGTGGGAAGATATAAATGTTCAGTGTGCGTCGGATTGTCTCTCAGAATCAAACCTCCACACTTACCCGAGTAGAAATGCATCTAGTCGGATATATAAAGAATAACCTGAGTTCAAAAACTAGTAGCTAGCTAGTGTTAACTAGATTAAATGTTCTAGCTCGTTCATTATTGCCTGATTATTCGTTAAAATATAAAGTCAATTTTGTAATCTAGCCCTCGTCCAGTCGTTACATATCAAATATGATAGATTAAGTGGTGCTCTCCATTCTAAAATATACAGGATGTTCCCAAATTCCCGCATGCGGAGTGTACAGGGAGACTTTTATTAAAGTATACCTTCCCATGAAAATTAATAAATAACGTATCACTACAACAACAGCAATTAGGCTCTCGAAGGCCCGTTATTCCTCATAATTTACAGGATTAGTCACGCGTGTATATCACGATTGTCACGATGTACGGCACTCTTACCGGAGTTGTTTTGCATAAGTAAGGAACTTGCATGGATACGTTTCCACGAAAATATATATGTTAGATACGTAAGACGTTTTGTCAAGAGAAGCCACTCGGTTCCGTTTCTCCGTTAAGACGCGCGCATCGAGTGCACCTACATGATACAGTCCCGATTCACATGATACGCGTTCATATAGAATACGATACACGCGTGTGATACTAACGAGAGTTTTCCGGAGACCAATAAGAGAGCTAGGCATCGGCTGGAGTTGCAAGAGAGAGCTTCATAACTGACGACCAGCGTGCTCTCGGCGCCGGGCTCGACGCTGAGGATGGGCACCTCGGGATGATCGAAGAGGAAGTGATGAGTTAGCGCCGAGAAGGCGACGTTCACCGAGCAATCCAGACGGGGACAGCGGATGGGTCTGCGGGAGTAGTCAACGGATAAGCTTTTGGCCTTAATCTCGGCGTTGTATCGATCCGTGTCGTTCCTCCGCGTCGCCAGATTGCAATAGCTGTGCTGCTGCTGTTGACACTGCTCTCCACGTTCCTCCCGCGGATCGCCTCGATCACGACGATCAACTACGACGTACGAAACGGCGTTCGACATCTCCGCGTCGTAATTGAGCGTCTCGTTCGCCTCTTCGGCAGGGTGGCTCGTCCTATTGAAATTGCCGCAGGCCCATTGGTCGCGACGTGCCGGCAACAAGTGAATCTGCTGCGGCGCAGGCGGTTGCAGATACATCGCGATCGGCGAGTCGTACGTTTTTCTCGAACGCACGCGAGGACGATCGTTGTCCTCTTTACTTTGGGAGAGACAGGCGTGCGATCTTCGAGGCTGAAGGTGCTCCGCGCCTGTGAGGATCCACAATGCGTTTTCCTTCCCGCGAACGANTTTTTTTTTTTTTTTTTTTTTTTTTTTTTTTTTTTTTTTATAAGTACCAGCTGCGTTTTGAGGCAAAAGTTGAAGAGATTGAAGAGAAACGGTGTTCAGCAAAAAAAGGAGCTCAGTGGGCGCTTAGTGATTATTATTTATGACTGGTGTCCTAACAAACAAGGAACATTGAATCAATCTTTTGAAATATTGATCTTATGTGGATTTTATAAGCATTTTGTAAACATATTTTATAAATGTTTTTAAACTTTTACTTGATAATATCCTGAGGAAAAATTTCTGATATATAATTATATATAGATTGTTATATTAATATTTTTTTAATGATTTGTTACGTTAATGATTTTTTGTTTGCTGGAATATTCTTTCAGTTTCTTAATAAATTTAGGAGAATGCACCAGTGAGAAGCGATAATCATTGAGCGCTGACTGAGCTAATTTTTCCGCTGAACGTAGGTGATGATAACGATAGATCGTAGATTCTTAATAAACATTGTCTTCACTGATTAGTTACTGTTGGTGAATCAACCGGCGAAGATTCGAGAGACGGACGACTTCGCGGGTTAATTACTGTCATTATTGCGATTTCTGATAACTGTGGCTAAGTAAGATGACAGAGTTTTATTGACCTGATCGAATTGAAAACTTTCGCACGCAGCGTTGACACAGCAGATAGCCCTCGGTGTTATGCGGATTCTGCTCAGAATCGGCGATACTTCCACCGAGGTTGGCGTCGTTAACGATATCGCGGCAAATCGCGCATTCGCCGATCCGCTCATTTTCTTGGTTTCTTCGTTCGTCTTCGTCCTCTCTTTCCGCCTGTTCGTGTACTTCGTCTGTTTCTTTCCTATTTCTATGTATTACTTCCCGTACCTTCGCGTCCTCTTCCTCACTTTGATCTTCATCGATTTCCCGTTCTTCATCCTCCGTCTCGTCTCCTATAGCCTCGGTAAGGATTCCTTTCCTCTCTTGTAATCTATTATCGATGTCCGAATATTTCCGACCGAGATAAAGACAATCCGATCCCTAAAACGCGGTTATTTTCTTTGAATAAAAGATGTCGCATTAATTCAGTGGTTCATAAAAAAAAATATATATATATATATGTATAATTATATTTAATTATATATGGAAAATTCTTTCCCCGGTAATAAATCTTATGTCTATGTGCGTGCAGGAAGTGCAGACCGTTCTTTTCCCACAAATCGTCGCTATGTCAATATGCAAATCTGTGACTATAATTGAGTGAAAATCGCGTCGGGGTCGCGTTTGCAGGGACTAGAAAGCGTTCGTTCTACGATATCTTTTATCGGGAAAATTATGCGGGGGCCGTCTATGCGCGGTCTCGTGCGCGCGAAGCTCTATCGCACATGCCTTGCGTTGATTACGTATCGCGTGGTCGTCGTCTCTTGCGGCTCTATAATTGACCCTTTCGCTCTCCGTTTCTTCGCGAAGCATCTCGCCGTTTTGTCAGCAGTGCTTATCGGCCGACGCGCGATAACCTCTCGTCGATGACGCGCGTCTCCGCGATCGACCTATCCTCGCATACGACCGTTTATCCTCCGTATAATGCAAGCCTGCAGTTTCCGGTGTCTGAAACTTAACTCGCGACAAACACGCAGAATTTTTAATAGTGTGCCCCTCTTCGATTAAATTAACGTTAACGGGTGTATGAACATTTTACGATACTTTAATAATACGATTACGACTGATTATATTCGCGTCTAATGGGGAATTTCTCTTTTACAGCCAAGACGTTTCTTCCTCGTGTTCGCATTAAGTAAGCGAAAAGAGGCCATCGTGTTTCACGCGCGACTTTAGAATCCGCACAGCATTATCGTTGCTTTATAATTAAGTCTTAAGTGAAAATTCCCTGAAAGTCTAGCTGAAATTATTCGAGGAACATGATTTTGCCATCTATGTTCGATCCTCTGTATTTTCGGTCAATAATTACTCGCAAATTACTGGAACTTGAATCATTTTGTCGGGAAAACTCTGACTTCAAAATCGCCGAGAGGTCTGTTACGAAATTAACGCGAGACACCCTGTATAATGATGAACGGTTCAGCGGTCAACTTACCCGTTGCAAAGAGAGCTAATCTTCCTTCGTTGAAGATTAAAACGATATGGTTGAAAGCAGATGTATTTTACCGGCGAGATGGATTTCTTAATTTCCTAGTTGGCTCGCGATGAGAGAGTTTTTCAACGGCCGACTGAGAGTCCAATTGACGAGCGTTTGTACGAGTTTCCCGATTCGCTGTAATTTAGTCCGAGGAAATTTACATTCGTCAGCCAGAAAATGCTCGATACGCACGGTATTTAGATCAAAAATATGAGGCCATCTTGACGTCTCGGAGAACAAAGAAACAAGTTACAAAGATATCAGCGCAACAGCGTTGTAAGAAAATTCCATACCCGGTGCATCATGTGTTAGAGATCAAAATTCAATTTTTATTGTTAAAGTCCGTCTAATTTATTATTAATTTGTGTTTAATCCTCTAAAATTACATTGGCGTGATGGGTATCGTTTTTATATCAATTTTGAAGAAATATTGATTAATCCCAGGCTCGAATCTTAATTATAAATTAATGCGATCTTAAGGGTTTTTAAGTTATTATTTATAATTGCAATTATATTTTAATAATTGTAATTATATTTTAATATGTATATATATATAAGATCAATGCCTATTTGGCTTACGATTTCGATCCTCCGTTGAGTATTGTGGCGGCTCGTAGCGGAGACTTCAAAACTAATAAAGATGATTTATCCGAGTATCAAACTTCATTTAGCTGAGACTCAAACCTTATTAATTGTAGAAGTCAAGGGTAAATCAGAAAGACTTTATTTTCAAATAGTATGACAAAATACAGTAATTATTTTATGAATTAATTATTTAACTTGTGGGGAAATGTACTAGAAAATGCAGATAATAACTGGCGTGAATATCTCCAGTTGTATATTTAACAAAAAATGAATATAAATAATGTTTTTCAACGTCGCCTATCCGCAATGTAAAGATAATGAATAGACACAATGAATACTTGTTAAGAAACGTGTTTTATTAAAAAAAGCACATATTAAAAGAGATTAGAAAATAGTAAACGACACGACGCCTGCTAATTATTGATGGCAGGTGTAACGCGTAAATTGTAAATGATCGTAGATTTACACTTAATCCGTACGTGTCTGTGTGAATTTTTTACTGATCGAGTTCGAGCTTTTCGCATTACTGCGCGCAATCAAGTGAATTTACAAACGAGATATTAATATCTAATTAGTCTGCGAATATACATATGATCAATCATACGTAATGATTAACCGACGTATAATTAACCAACCTTAATCTTATACGCGCAATGCGTATGACTGGCAACATAGTTGCGGAAACCAATCTTATGACATTTCAGCTTTTGTATAAGGTTTTAAAATTGTCGCTTAAGGGGTTATATACATCCGAGAAGCTCAAAAACTCCCAATGTTTGAATTTTTCTGACCATATTATTGACTTTATAAAGATGTCCTTTCGAAGGATGATTCTTCATATTTTTATTTTCATATTATATGAAGGAATTACATTACAAAAAGTTTATATGTAACGCTGTTTTCGTGAAGCTCGTTTATCGCTAATCGGCGCCCAAAATATCTTGGGAATTTCTCGGAAATATTGAACCGATTTAGTTGTAGTTTTGCATAGATATTTTTAATATGATTATCCAGTCTTTGCCGTATGATTTTTTTTATATCTATTATAGTTTTTTTATAAACCAAAAGATAAATTTTGGGTGAAAAATTGAACTTTTGACTTCAAATATTAACAACTTTGTCAAATGTTAATATCTTAGAAATCAGCTACGACAAAGACTAGTTTTATTTATCTACTTTAACAGATTTTAGATTTATTTGTTTCAGAGATAAATGGTGTCGGAGACGTCTAGGCGCTAAGAATGCCAATTAATAATGACAAAAACTTTACGGAAGCGGTAAGTGTTCATAACATATCAACTTCTTGTAATGAGCTTCATATATGGGCTTCATATAAATAAAAGTATGAATAATCATCTCTCAAAAGGACATCTTCAAAAAATCAATAATGTGGTCAGCAGAAAAATTTAAACATTATGGAGTTTTCAAGCCGCTCGGGTATACGTAGTCTCCTTAAATTACGACGTCCCTGCTACAACCTTTCATTGCGCATGTGAACTTCTTAACGATATTAACAATTCTCTACTTACACGCGTCAAACATAAGAGTTGTTTATCACAAGAATAATAACTTATCTTATCTCTAACTTGTTCTTGTACTTATTTCTTAACATTGTCCGTCTTTATCCCCACATTATCGTTGACCAACTTGTGTCTCACGTACGCTAATCTTTCCGCACTGATCGCTTGTATATCGCCCAGACGGGAATTATCTAGCAGCGTCTTCAGGTTCTGTTTACTGTCCAAATCAATCATGCTGCAACTCTTACCTCTGATCGCCGACAAGGTGGACGTTCGTCCGAAGAGTGACAATAACGGTAACTCTTTGACATTGGCGGTCTTGACGATGAACTTCTTGACGGCTGACCGCTCGCCGAGTCGTTGACCCGTTATTATTTCACTATCCGACGAGTCGGAGGATGACGTTAGCGAACCCTTCAGTTTCACCGGACTCGAGTTGGCACTGCACGATGCGCTCTTTTGCGGAATACTACAGCTAGATCGTGTTGGCAATAACGTGGCATCGTCCTGCGTGTTCGTAGAATATCGGATGACGCCTTGCGGCAAGTTGGCGGGAAAGAACTCGACGTTACGAATAGTAGCTTGCGTGCAAGACAAACTCGTAAGTTGCGAGCGGCTCTTACTGACTAAGTTATCGCTCGTATCACCGCAATCATCTCTTTTTAGTTCATCATTTGTGTCAACGTCGTTGGTAACCCCGATGTTCCAGCTGCTCTGAGTTGTCCTGCCTTTGACGTCGAACTGAGAGATTCTGTTTGGCACGTATTTCGTCATATCTACGCTCGCAGCTTTCTTTGTGATCTTCCTGTTCTCGAAATTGGACGTTCTCCTGTTCACTGGGCTACTGCTCAGTGATTTCGAGATATTGCTCTTCATAACGACTTTCGACGCGGGACTGCGTAGTGTCGTCATGGAATCAGCCGTCGACGACGATCTCGGCAAGAGCGACGGCCCGTCAACCGATGCGTCTTTTTCGAGAAGTGCCGGATTTCTCCTGGTCGATCTTGAAAGTTGGCTCAAACTTTGCGCGTCCGATTGTCCAGTGGATAAGAAATCGTAACACTCTCCGCTCATTTCGCCGGCGTCCGGTAGGTTCGCAGAACTAAGCGCGTTTTCTCGCTCCTTGACGTACAACGGGTTCTCGAGCGATAAGCGATTTAGTTTCTCCATGCTGGCTTGCAGCTCCAACTCCCATTGCGTAAACTTGCTCTCGCTACCGTCTACAGATCTCTTGTCGAGTTTCTCCGCGTCTTCCTTCATTGAACAGGGTTTCTGAAAAATTCCAGGCGGATAATAGCATTTTGCAATTACGACTCTTTGTGTTACAGACAATTGTTAAATCGAACCAAGCGAGGCGACAAAACGAGCAAGTGTGAGTCAAAACGGAATAAGCGGTGCAGGCAATTGGAAAAATGGTGATGTTTCTACCGAGAATAAAATACTGAATACTCCGAGAATTCAAAAGATGTTGGTTACTGATGAGGTTACTGTTAAAATTTAGACATGTTAGAGAAAAGAAAACGACTATTAGTACGACTATTAGACTACAAGTTAGTATATCCTACTAACTTCGATATTGTGTAGTTTTTCGTTGTTCCTGCTTTCATTACACCTAATGGAGGATATTTTACGACTGTCGGAAGCACTGAACTCATTTTCACGCTTCTGACATGTATCGGAACCGATTAGCTCGGCGCCAACACCAGGTTCTCGCGGTCCGTTAACCACGATATCTAAAATGCAAATGTTACAATGTCAAATGAACAAGTATACGCGCAGTCTCGTCGTGCATATCTCGTACAAAATATAAGCCGAATTACCATAATCTCTTCGTTGCTGATGTATTTGATTACTGATTTCCTCTAATGTCCGGAGACTCGTCGCGTAGTTGCGTTTGGCTTCCTTGACAGTTTGCTGCAGGTGCTCCACTCTCTCCTTCTGCGTTGCTAGCATCTGATCGCACTGAGTCTTCACCTCGAAATACGGCCGTGCTTTTATTATCGAGCGTCGATGCTTCTCTTCCAATTGCACCAGCTTCTTTTCAGCGTCATGAAACAACATTGCTCTCCTATGATGTTCCCGGCCGCATTCAGCTTTTTGATTGTCCGCGTCCATCACCTGTGGATAGAAGATGTCAGGTTTTACTTCTTCTTTATTATCATATTACAACAACACTTTCAACCCGAGAATCAACTGTTGTTGCTAAATTGATCAACGGAGGATGTAATTAAACCGACAGACAGACGGACGAATAATGCGAATGAACGAAACATAAACGACGTCGAGAGATTTTCATCGGTGGCTTCGAATGTTTTATCACTCCAGAGGAGGATTGCTATCGAACGTGTAACGTGATTACTACGTACGCGGGCTGTGGCGTTCTACTCTGGTGCTTACTTTAATAGTAGCATGATTGAGCATATCCTGCCAGGCCTGGTCGAAATTCCACTCGTGCTGGTGCGACATGAATCGCGCCTCGGCCAGAGCGACCGTCTCCTTCGCGGCCGCGTGAATTTCGCTGGCTCGTTGAAATAGCTGCGCCTGTTGCTGACATTGCACCTGTGAATCGCATGAGAGAACGCATTGTTCGGCGTAAGTAACAACTCATTGCAATGAACTGTACGTAGTAACGTGCGTAATGTGAAATAATTACGGTATTAATTGATATGATACAATAAGATTTTCACCAATGATATGAAACAATACTGAATAAAGAAACGACAGATTATATACATTAGTGTGTACGCTTAGTATTTTTTTTTTATATAACAAATTCTGCATATTTTATCATTTCTAATTTATTGTGTAATCCAAGAGATTTTTAATATCAAATTGAGGAGTTACAAGGTTTGAGTAGGTTTCTACCTGAGCTTGACGGGCCATCTCTAATGCTTCGTAATAACATCTTGCCTTCTCAATACAACTAGTACCTAACTTATCAGTAATTTCTTTCAGCCGTCTTGTTGTGTCAGAAAGAAGCTGCCTAAAAGCAGTGTGAGCTTCCTAAAAATTAATCATAATTATATTGCAACATAAACTTTCTATTAAAACACTATTATATATGTTTCTCTGTGCAAATTATACATATATGTGCATTTACTTAAGTTTAAATTATATATATATATATATATATATATATACGTATATCTTACATCCAATTCAGTTTCCAGCTTATTAATATCATCTGTTGCATTGTTCAAGTTCTCCAACTCAATCTAAAATAAATTAGTTTGCCTTATAACTCTCGTATATTATCTAACATTTTGCTCGTCTGTCTTTGTATGTATTTTACATACAATTTAAAATAATGAAAAATTTATCACCGGTATAAGTTGTTACTTTGAATCTTTTCAGTCATGAACAGCATTATATACCTAAATCATTATCACGTGCCCGTACTCGGCTTAATCTAAGGAATGTTATCTCGGATCTCTAAGGATCACCATTTCCTTACTTCGATCGTTACCGACAATCGTAGTAAAGTATTAAAAAAAGAAACGTATTTTGGATCAGGTATAACAAAGACAGGATTGTCGACTAAATATCGTCTCGTTGTCGACTTCACAATCCTTACGTTCCAAACGTGTCGTATCAAAATACAAGAAGAAGAACGCCGTCTGGCAACACATGTGCAAAGCGGACGCTGCGTCGCTTCTCCACACGACGAACCACCATCGGAGCGATGCATCTCGCCACCCCCCCCTTCCACCGACAAAGACGCGCGCGATCAATGATCTCCCATGGATCTCCGAGAGCGCATCTCGTTCTTATACGCGCCGAAGGAAGGAAGGAAAGTGAAAGCGAAGTGGGACAGTGTACCAGGCGGTGTTAGGCACTACGGCCGAACGACGAGTCGACGAAGGAACATAACCTGAAGACGCGCGTGTAGAAGGCGCGCGCGCGAACATACGACCGACAGGCATTTCTCCAGGCGGAATAGACGCCGGAAAGAGACGCGCCGAGGATTACCTGTATGCGCGGATCTAACGCGCTCTCAGCGTCCTCCGCGGCGTCCATCCTTCGGCTGATGCGGCGTTTTCTGCGCCGTCGAGCGATGTCAACTCATGATCGTCCTCGGCCCAACGCGACAGTGTGAATCCTGACGAGGCCCCGCGAGAACGCACTTCCTAGTGCATCTTCAAGCGTGACGATGCGCAATCGCGACGCAGTCGCTCATGTTTACGTCCCGAGGCATTTTTCAAGCCCCTCCTCCCGCGACTCGAATTCTATTTAAAGCGTCCGAGCGACAAACATAGCTTCACAACGACGGCTCCGAAGATCTTGGACGAAAGAGAGAGAAAGAGCGAGGAAAAGTAATGCGAACGACAAGCCGCGCGTGTCGAGACTATCTACGGAGATGAGTGTCGCCGACTAGATCGCTGACGCATCTCGATGATGCGTCTACACCCGCATCGCCGGCTACTGCGACGCCCTCCTCCATTGGACTGGCCCAGCCTTTCCGATGGAACCGCCAATAGGCCGGCCATTGCGCGACGCCGCTCCTGCGGCTCGTTCGAATTTCGCGCGCGCCTATCGGACGTGCGCGCCCTCTCGATCAGTAATCCCGCCGCCTCAATTGTCGTCCAAGTTCAAACACGCCGAGAGGTTCGTTCAGCTCGTTCGAATCAGCTTGATACTACTTCGATGCGTTGTTCTTGTTTCAATTACGGGACACAACTAAGTCACATATTTGACAGGTATGTACAGGACGATAGAATAGAATATAACGAGCCTCAGATCTATATTGTGAACTCACTTTTGTCAATAAAAGTGCCTTAAATGTGGCTTCTCGGCTATAATCACCCAGCGAGAAATGAATATTTAATCGACGTCGATTCGACGTAGGTTCATTTCTCGCTGGCGGCTTCTGAGTCACTTTTAGAGGTGCTTTTATCGGTAAAATGAATTCAGTATATGGATTTTGGAGTTTTGTTTTGTAAGATTTATTTATACATAAGATATACTTTAGACGTTACAATTCATTTATATGTATACACGGAATAACATCGACACACAGTGTAATGAAGTTAATATCTTTCTATACTTTCTGTTTCGTTTCTCGAAATTCAAATTATCATGATGACAGTTGTATTGCTCACGCTTTTTTACATAATCAGTAAATATCAATGATACATACGTCCAGAAAATTCATTTAACACTTAGTTATATTGCGTGTTAAGTTAGTTACACTCGCTTGTCATGAATTTTACGGATGCTTATCTAGTTATTTTTTCGAATTGTGAGCGTTTTAGAAACGTAAACGATAAAAGGCCCGTTTTCTTCCGTTGAAGTGGCTGCACTAATTGCTACTAATTCTCTTTTCTTTCTTCTATCAGGTCTCAACTATATATTTGTCTCTTTTTAAATTCTAAAAGCGTTCATTACTTCAGCGAGAGAGAACAGACGTAGAATATAATAATTTAAATCAAAGCACTTCTCTCTATCCCTCTTTCTCTCTTCTTTGGAATATACGACGCGAGAAGATCGCGTCATCTAGCATGAAGCTCGCGCACTAACGGCGACAGCGAATACGTAAGTACAGTCAGTGTACGTATACTGCACCATTCCCTAGGCTGGGAGTTCGCGATTTTCAACCTTACGTACGTATACGTGTAAGGTTGAAAATCGCATAAAGTAATTCTTGTTGTAACGATGGGGATTATAATGGCCCTGGTTGCAATTTCGATCTTATGCATACATAAGGTTCAAAATCGTATACTCTCGATCTAGAGAATAGCACGCATACATGACGCCGACTGTACGCACGACGAGCCAGCTAGTGACTAACAAACATGGCGATTGCCAAGTAACAGTTCATCGCGGTGAGTCACAGAAGCCATGCACGTAAACCAGCCTAATTGACAGTAAAAGTAGAGCTCAATTGTCACGTATCTGGCCTGATTGACGGTCGCGCGACGGTAAGAACTGGCCGTTAGTCGATCGCCGTTCGTCGAACCTCGTTTCCGCGTCGCGAGACCTGTATCTTTATCCGGAGATAACTCCTTATCCAATATCTTAGCCTCTTCTAATTTTTCGTTCGCTTCCCTGTTTAACGCTAGAACGAGAATATTAACGAGCAGTTTCGTGTGAAAATCGGTACGATCGGACGTTCGGGGTGACTCGTTAAATCGTACACCAAACTTCATATCGTTAAAACACACGGGTATCTCGAACACGTTGAGATATTTACAATGTTCCCTTCGCTGCGTTACTGTGTGTTGAATAAAATGACACTGTGATAGAGTGTAATTTCGGATTGAGCTGAACGAGCTGATTTCACACGGCTGAACTGTGTTTTCAGAATAGGAAACCATCGCTCCGAAAATGCCTACACAGATGACAGAGAACGATGACATTCGAGTGAAAATTATATACAATGGGTAACTCACATATTGCTACAAAGACTGTTATAGTTTACGAAGCATTCCTCTCCGAGATATACTTGTGTTCACATTTGCCTTTAATTAAAAGTGCAATGCATTCGATAGGTTTATTCAGTACTAATACTGTTCACTAAACGCACAGTGAGCTTTTGGATTGGGTTAATTTGGGCTTGATTGGTTTATCTTGACCAAATATGCGTTGACTAAAGTTGCATTCAGGAAGTACAACCGTTGAGTGAACATTTAACATCACTGGAAATGTTCCTTTAGACTATAGATCTAAAAAAATATCTCAATCAAAAGTGATAATCGCTCGACAGTTGCATAATTGTGTTTCCTGATTGCACTCCAAGTTCGAAAACTCACCGTTGTAGTACTGAATGCATGCAATATTTTATTTCATCACTTTGTATCACATTTGGGGATTGTTTTTTATTTGTATTCTCTCCACAACAGTTGAATCATCAATATTCGATATAATGCGTTAAAGGTTAATGAAAGTGCCCCACCTAGAAGGATGAATCGGATTAGGCTGAAACTTGATATACAGAGAAATAGAAGACTCAAGACCAAATGATCACAGTTCATTGGCAAAACAACCATGGGTTAATACAGGATAACCTAAATGTACTACTGAGGTCATGTATTTTTGAGGACAGGATGAATGTGTCCCATAACTTGGGACCCAATCGGATATGTCCTTCTGAGTGGAGCATTTTCAACGTCTCTTGGTGTATCTGAGAATAAATACGTGATACTACGCAAATTTTTTCAAGCGTAACTTAATAGAAAGATTGAAGAAGCTTGCCGGACGTGGCAAGCCAGATGCGTGTAACTTTCTCACAGCTGATAACTCATAATTTTCTCACATTAGAGAGGTGCAAATCACGTACATCACCGCTGGGATCTCGGTGGACACGTTGCGCGAGGAGATGCGGACGATATGCGGCTTCGACATGCGACCGGAGTCGCAGTTCACTATGAAGTGGGTGGACGACGAGGGCGACCCTTGCAGAATCACCTCGCAACAGGACCTGAACGAAGCCCTAAGGCTGTACGAGCTCGAGAAGGACACAGAAATAACGATACACGGTCAGTACGTCATTCACGGCCGTAGTAGATGTCGGCCTCGTAGTTGCGTCTTGTGTGTTTGTGTGTGTGTGTGTGTGTGTGTCGCTCCGTTTTAGGTGATGCAATGGTGCGAGCGATCGTGCACATTAATCGTATGGAAACTACGCGTTCGATCAGTTTCTTGCATGTTATGATGCTTATATAATTAAAAATGACGCGAATCGTGCATTAGCGGCTGGCGTTAGTTTGATAAACGCAAGCGTACGTGACGAGCTAATTTCCGGTAACGGGTGCATCCGCTTTCGGTACTCTCTCAGCGTTTCGTTAATCGCGCCGCCGCATCGATTAGAAATCACCTACATGTTCTACCGAGGTGAGAGAAATATACAACACGTATGAAATAAACATCGACGCGTTCGTTTTAGCCGAACATACTGTTAACACACAATTAATGGATAATATACCAACATTATAACGTACGCTTTCCACACGATAGCGCTGTCGTTAGTGCGCCTTGAGTAATGACACGTCGGCGTATCGGCAACGCTCTCTCACCTTATCGGTAGTTTATTGTCGATACAAGTCGTTGGTTATCAGCGTATCGAATTTCGCGCGAAACACCATCAGGGCCGACCCTGCTGTTTATTTGATGCACATCGATCGATTTATCAGTCACGACGCCGCGACAGATGATAGCATCCTCAGATCGCGCGCGCGCGCGTGTTTATATTCACGGGGATTCTGCAGTCATGCGGAACGTGACATGACTTAGAGATTCATCCAGCCTGGGGTACACCTAGGAGATGACTCTATATAGGAGTCATTTGCGTGACAGTAGGATACTTCTGGGGAGACAGAACGTGTCGTGTTCGCGCATACATTTCCGGCCCGGAGGATTCGACTCGCCTTTTGTCGCCCCTCTTTGCGCGAAGCTTCCACGCGCAAAAGCCGAACCCTTTGACGCGGAACGACAAGCTCTTTGAACCTGGAGGATTCGTAAGAGTCAGGTGTAGAGACTGATCATCGCGTTTTCCGATCCTCGGGAACAATTGGGAGTACATTTCATACCTAGAGGAGACTTTCATTCAACGTACAAAGGAGAATTCAACATTGAGCGAATTTCATAGGAAAGATAATATTTATTATGAAGATAATATTATAAATTTGACGAGTCGACGTGAGCGACGTCGATCGTCGGGAAATGTTAATTGGCGAGCGAGCGAATTCGTGCAAATTTTCGCAAATAACACTGACAGGCAACGAGAAGATACTCGGAGGAGATTTTGCCTTGTTGAAACTAGGACTGTTATTTTTGACAACCTCGAAGATTCTCGGAGCTGTCAAGAGAATTCGAAGCTACGGAGTTAATTTCGAAGATTCGAACCTTTGAGAAAAAAACTTGAAAGTTAACTTCGAACCTGCGAATCTTCGAAGTTGTCAAAAATAACAGCCTTAATTGAAGATCTTTTTTTGTTCAACTTGAAGCCACTCGGGTTCGGAGAAACGGAGATTTTCACACCGACTATATCGCTCGCGTTCAAAACGAGATTCTTCTGGGGACCTAAATTAGAGGCTCCATTCTGCAAGTCAGTAGCAATTTCTTAATGAAAATCAACTGAACTTTTTCTGGAGACTTTAACTGGAGGCTCCGTTTGAAAAAATCAATAACGATCTCGTAGTGGAGATCGACGGAAGGTCGCGGCCGGTTTTGCTCGATACGCTCGAAGTCAGCCATCGTCGCGCAATATTGACAGAGTGGAGTCTCTCGGCTTCTCGATGCGCGTAAAGCGCTAGCCTTTGTAAACCCACACGTGCGTTCGACATCAGCTGTAGCAGCAGCGATAGCAGTGACCGCGGCGGCGATAAGCAACGATGATACCACATGTTGTAACGGGAGAACAAGGAAGGATCAACTGGGCGGAGGACGAAGGACGGGAGGAAGGTGCGAAGGCGACGAATTGAGAGGTCGGGCGGGCGGGCGCGAGGCAGGACGAAATTCACTGAGCTCGGTAGGAGAAATGGAAGGAAAACCGGTGGGAAATAAAGTAGAACTGAGAGAGAGCGCGGAGTCTGTCGCGCCGCTCCGGGGACGAAATTATCTGCCTCTCTCCGAGAGAGGCGAGAAATGCGAGGGAACACCCTTTGACAGGGAAGAAATCGAGTCAACGAATGAGAAAAGCACGGATGCGCCGGGTAATGCGATGCAAGTCGGCGCAGCAGCAGCGAAGTTAGCGCGAAGACGGTGAGAGAGATCGAGGGGAAGAATCGCTGGATGATCAGCGCTGAAACTGCAAAAGCATTAAGAAGAAAAAGAAAAGGAAGAAGAAGAAGGACAAACGGAGTTGTAGGAACAGAGGTAGAGCTCGGGGGAGAGGTCTGAACCTGTGAGTGGATACAGGCGCGGGACCGGTCGACGGCGAGGAGACGACGGAGGACGGCACACCGCCTCGGCACGATCCGCGTTTGCGCGATTCGGTCGGTAGCGCGCGCCGGGCGGCGACGGCAGCGGCGGCGGCGGTTAACGCATCTCACCGCGGTAGTCGATATCCTTGCACGGGCCGATCAGCAAGGGCAACAACGTCGCACCACACCGTCGCGCCTGGACTTGCCGTGAGATCGCGATTCGGGTTGGCTCGTTGAAGTCGTGGGAGGAAGTGTCGATCGCGGACGAGAGGGAAGTTGTGCCGGAAGAGGCCTGGTTACCGGAGAGAGAAAGAGAGAGATCCCTCCTCAATACGGGCCTCTTCGACAGGTCGTTAGCTGCGAAGGAGTTGCGTCATCGTGTCGGTAGACAAGTAGTATTCGCGATAGTCGTCGGCGCGCTTGGCTCGGCGAATAGAGAGAGGTCGCAAAAGAGGCGGTAAACTAGCATCGATCGAGCTGGTGATTCGTCGTCGCATGCTCATCCCGGCTCCTGCAAGAGGTCGACCGCGCTGGTGAAGGAGACCGAGGGAGATAGACAGAGGCAGAGAGATTGAGAGAGAGGGAGAGGAGACGAGGGAGAAAGAAAGAAAGAGGGCAAGGCGCAAGCTGACGGAAGAGAGACGGGGTAGAGAGTGGCGGCGGGGCAGGAAATCGGTAGAGAGAAGAAGAGAGAGGGAGAGAGAGCGAGAGAGCGCGAAAACAGAGAGAGGCGCGGCGAGGCGATCTCGCGCGCGCGGGTGGAGCGATAAAGGATACACACACCGGTGCGATAGAGGTAGGCGAGGCAAGCACGGCTAAATTCGCCGCTGCAGAATGGCGTGGGGCTACTGGAGCGCAACTTCCGTCAGCGATCGGGGTCGGTCACCTCGCCGCGAGAAGGACAAACAGCAACAGCACCAGAGCCTGCATCAGCATCAACAGCAGCAGCAATCACAACAAGTGTACCAGTCGCAGGCGGATCTGGCGCAGAGCACCTACGGCGTGCAGCAGGCAGAGCTCGCAGCCGGCCCCGGCTGCGCGGTCGCGGTGGTGGAGGAGCCACCCTGCAGCATGATGATCCAGGGTGGTTCCTTCTACTCGTACTCGGCGGCGACGGCGGCTGCCGCCGCGGCCAGCCGCCGCATCACCGGCGCCGAAGGCGGCCCGTCCTCCTCCACCACGTCCACCGGTATCCAGGTGTTGCCACGGGAACGGCACATCAGACCCGGCACGAGCGCGTACGCACCGCAGTCGCCGGGTAGCGGCGACTCCGCCGAATACGAACAGCCTATCGTCGCGAGCGGCATCATCCGCGGCGAGATTTCGCCGCCCCGCGGCGGCACGCCGCACGACGACATCTTCGCCCAGCCCGGCACCTCCTCGTCCTCCTCGTCCGTCCGGCCGAAGCCGCCGTTACCGTGCGAGCCGTGCGAGGGCATGGAGGATCTGCCCGACGTCGAGCTCGAGGAAGTGCATCACAACGCCGAGCTGATATACGCCAGTCGCGGATTAGGGACTACCGCAACGTGCCGCGTGCACGGCCCGTGTAACCCGGAGTCCGCGCCCTCGATGACATCGCTGCTGGACGAGCATGCGGCCTCGTCGCAGTTCCAGTTCAACGAGATCACCTGGGGTAGGTGGATCGTCGCGTTCGTCGTCGTCGATTGACGACGACGACGGACGTTTCGGCGGTCTCGGGCTGTTTCTCAGGGCGAGTCTGGTCCCGCGGGAGCGCCCTTCGCGCGCGCTGCGAACAGCTTCATTCCCCCCTCTCTCCCTCTGCTAACTCGCCTCCGCCCCGCCGCTCTGCTCCGTATTCGTCGTATTTCTTTAATGCGGCGCGCGCGTGATCTAGGTCAAAGTTTGGCTTGCCAGATAACGTTTTTGTGTGTCCGCCTTCGGTGCACATTCCCAGCGACGCCCGATGCGCATTCCTAGAAAAACGCGCTCGGAGCGGAGAGGAGAGACGTCGCTTCGACGACGACATTTGTTAACGCGGATGTCCGCCGCCGCCGAGTCTCGCCGGCTTTGCTGTTGTTGACAGTTGACGGCGTCGACGACGACGGCAATCTGGAGACCGTAGGCGACATTTAGCGCATTGCAGTAATATAAAACTCCCTAAGTCGGTCACGTGAATTAATTATCGCGATTTTGTCCTCGCTGAAATAAAACGGTGGAGATTAGTGATCGAGTCGCTTGGTCGTGCGGTACAACGTGCGGTTTTTTTTTTCTCTCCACTTTCCTTTCCACGTCGAGCGCTCAAATTCGGATCCGCGATAGGTGACAGTGAGCTTTCAGTCTTTCGCAATGAGAAGCAATAAGATGTAACGTCGTTGCTGGCGAAAGGCGTTTCCCGCGCTGCCGAAAGTCGCAATAACGCGTAAATCTCAGGCATCGCGACGCCTGGCAGTATGCGGGAAACGCTTTTTTATTGGAAATTCCGTTACAGTTTAGTGTTTAGAACAAAAGGCTGAAGACTCGGATCGGACCTACTGTGGATCCAGACTAATGTTCGCTGGATGGAGAAAGGCTCTCTCTCTCTCTTTTTCTCTTCTCGTTGCTTCTCAATTAACGCTCGTCGTGCTTCATTTCGTAGTAGCGCTGTTACTGACGACGCAATTTGACGCATTGCTATATCCGTCGCCACCTTTCTCATTGAGCGAGAGACTATTTCTTTGATATGGCGCGATCACAAGTGAGATGCAATCGGGGAGTCCGTAGACTCGTTAGGACCTGTTGTACAATGCGTTGTATGTTGGAATGCAGTCGATAGTCCAAACGAAGAGAACTCGTTTTCAATAAATAAATTCTCTCATTGTGTCGTTGGCTGCATTCCGGCATTACTTATCGTGTAACAAGCCTAAGGCTGGATCTACAATAGGTGTAGTAAGTTTTAACCTTAGAACCGCGACAATTTGGATCCCTCTCAGAACCGCGGGTGGGTCACGTTTGACTCACCTCATTCTTTGTAATTATCCATGAATTTTTTTAAACTTTGCAACATTAATTATTTTATGATAAGAAAGACTTCCCAGTGATGAAAATCTAAAAAAAAGTGGGAAAAAAGAATCTAAAGTTTGGTTTCTCATTTTCCGGTTAACTTGCTGTTTATAATTTAATAATAACTCAAACATTATATTTTTCTATGGTTAAACTGATGATTTTGTAGCATAACTTTTAAAGATTAATGATTAAGCATGATTAGAAAAACATAATGTTTACATTATCATCAGGTTGGGCCTAAACCATAAATTAAACAGAAAATGAAAACCGAATAAAAAATAACTTAGTCGCGGTTCTAATGTTAAGCCGTAAAAAATTGACCAATCACAATCTATTATTCTTCTCACGTTCGATTGTCATTGGTCAGTTCTTTACGGCTTAAGGTTTACTACACCTATTGTAGACATAGACTCTTAATGAAGCCGAATGAAGGAAGGAAGAAAGAAAGAAAGAAAGAAAGAAAGAAAATAATCGTGTTGTTTACAAACTGCACGCAACAAATGCATTATTACATGTATCGCAGCGAACGATGCTCTTTTATTTATAACTCGCAAGTCAGCGATAAAGGCGATTCATTATCAGCGTATTGCGCGTCGACGATAAATATTCTCTCTCTCTCTCTCTCTCTCCCCCTTGTAACTCATCGTTTTATCGGCAAACACGACAAATGTCGTTGCTCGATGTATCGCGGGGACGTGAATCAAGACTTTTTCCGCGTGCCGGTGTCCGTTCCTCCGCCCCCGCCGATGAAGTTTTAAGTACGATCCCCCCCCTCCCCCCCTGTTACCTTCTCTGCCCTCGCATATGCGCCAGGGTGCACTTGCGGTACCTACCATTATAGATCGTGCTTCTAGGCTGCACGTTGCGTATATGTGCATCCCCATACTTCGTCGCACCGTAGGGGAGCGTATCGTATTGTCTTTATCGCTCGTGTCATCGATCCCCCGCGATAATTAGTCCATGAATATTTCAAGAAATTGCTCTTTCTCTCCCCTCCCCCCCCCTCTGTCACTATCTCTATCTTTCTTTAATGCTCTCTCCCTCCCTTGCTCGTTCTCTCGCTCTGTCTCACACACTTCTATACACGCCCCGCATCATTGATATGTGTCTGCGGTGAGCCGCGGTCTCGTAACGAACGATTTGATTACGTACCGAGAGCGCCGTGTTGGCCTCGTTTAGCGAACCCACCGTTGCGATCGTATGACATGCATCGCGTTGTCTCTCTCCCCCCCCCCC